GCTGGGAAGATGGGTCAGTGGTAGAGTGCTTACCTTGCATGCATGAGGCCCTGGGTTCAATTCCTCAGCACCACATAAGCAAAAAAGGAAAAAGCCGGAAGTGGCGCTGTGGCTCAAGTGGTAGAGCACTAGCCTTGAGCTGAAGAGCTGAGGGACAGCACCCAGGCTTAGAGTTCAGGCCCCACGACTGGACTCAAAAAAAAAAAAAAAAGAGTCTCACAATGTTCTGAATCTTGGTTGTTTCTGTGGTGATCTTTCCGGCCCAGGCTGTGATCCTCAGATCTCAGCCTCTAAAACAGCTAAGAATCCAGCCATACCTTTTAAGCACTCAGAGAAAAGAGCCCACCTTGAAGTTGCTGAATTTCTGGAATTGTTTGGAGATGGTTAGCATTAGCCTCTCAGATTCTTTTTTTTGGCCAGTCCTGGGGCTTGAACTTAGGGCCTGAGCACTTCTCTGAGCTTCTTTTGCCCAAAGCTAGCACTTGTACCACTTGAGCCATAGTGCCACTTCCAGCTTTTTCTGTTTATGTGATACTGAGGAATAGAACCCAGGGCTTCATGCTAGGCAAGCACTCTACCACTAAGCCACATTCCCAGCCCCAAGCCCCTCAGATTCTTTTTTTTGTCAGTCATGGGGCTTGAACTCTGGGCCTCAGCACTGTCCCTGTGCTCTTCAGCTCAAGGCATGCACTCTACCAATTGAGCCACAGCACCACTTCCAGTCTTCTGGTGATTAATTGGAAATAAGAGTTTCAAGGACTTTCCTTGCCAGGACTGGCTTTGAACTGCAATCCTCAGATCCAAGCCTCCTGAGTAGCTAGGATTACAGGCATGAGTCACCAGTGCCCAGCTGCCCCTCAGATTCTTAAATGCCATTTCCATGGAGGAGCATGGTCCCAGGGTCAGTCTTCTTTTTTTGCTTTGCTGTCTCTTTGTTCCTTAGGTGACATACCCCTTTATCCTTTCTGGGGCCTTTTATTCTTTCTTACTCCACTCCTATCCCATCCTTAGATACTTGCCTTGTATATCCAAGAGTTTTAATGTCCTTCTTGTTTATTCTAATCCTCCATATACAGTCCTTATTCCTTATGCTTCCTACCATGGCAACTAAAAGTATTTGTGTTTTTTTTTTTGTCGGTCATAGGGCTTGAACTCTGGACCTGAACGCTGTCCCTGAACTCTTCAGCTCAAGGCTAGCACTCTACCACTTGAGCCACAGTGCCACTTCTAGTTTTCTAAGTGGTTTATTGGAGATAAGAGTCTTATGGACTTTCTTGCTAGGCTGGCTTTGAACCATGATCCTCAGCTCTCAGCCTCCTGAGTAGCTAAGATTATAGGCATGAGCCACTGGCACCCTGCTTGTGTTATATTCTTTAAAACCCCATCAACTGACATGTGTGATGTTGGGGGCTGAACTTATGGTATCATGCATGCCAAGCACACACTCTACCCCCTAAAGCCCACCCTCATACAATGCAGTGGCATTAATTACTCCTGCATATGTGGCTCCTTCTCATTCTCCATCTCACAAAGAAAAGCATACAAGTTTAAATGTAAGGTACCTGAGGCTTTTACTTATATAGTTTTAGAAAACCCCCAGAATTAAAACCTATTTTTAAAAAATAGTTAACTTTTAAATTGAAAAAAAAAATATATATATATACACACACATACATACATATGTAGTAGATACTACAATATGATATTTGAAATCTGTATACATTAAGGACCCATTTCTTATTGTGTGACTATTGAGTGCTTACTTGATTAGAAGAGAGAGACTATATACTGATTTGAATGGAGAAAGCTTAGCTTAAATATCTTTAGCTATAGTAAGATTGGGAGTGACAAAGAATTAATGAGTAAAGAGAAGCCTAGACAATAAAGGAATAGCAGATGCAGGCATAGCCAATTCTAGGGATTTGTGTTAGTCCATTTTTGGTTACCATGACAAAATACTGAACACTCAACTTTCAAACATGAATCCTTTGGGAAGGTGTAGTAGGCTACAACTGAGTATGGAATAGTCAGGGAAGAGGCTCACCTAGATCCCAAGGATGAGATCCAGACTTTGTAGGGAGGGCACAGCCATTGTTCATGGCATGGCACAAGAGTTGCTCTTGTGCCACACTGCCAGAACTTGCTGGAAAACTGCCCTCTCAGCTTCCAGAGAAAGCTCTTCATGTAGAAGGTGTTACTGGAGACCTTCTACAACAAATCATCTAAAAGATATATCACGGAAAGGTGTTAAGTTCTGGGCACTGCTATCTACAAGGCACTATAGGGGCTTGAAGCTGGAGTAGCTACCAGCACTGTCCATGTTGAGTGGTCAGGAAGCCATAGGAGCTATAGGGTCTGGATGCTAAAGAAGTCATTCATGCACACTGCAGGAGCTGAGCTCAGAGAAGCCACCCACGCTACAAACCTGACTGCCAGGGATGCTGTGTGTGCATCAGGAACCAGATGGTAAAAGCCACTTGTGTTGCAGGAGCCTAGTGTGAGACCAGCTGTCCTGGCTAGAGGAGCTTGATGAGTGAGCCCCCCACCCCACACTCTAGAACCAAGAAGCAAAGCAATCTTCTCCTACAGTGTCTCTCCAGCACCCTCCACTGACAAAGCTTAACAGTGGGCACGCTGGCAATAAAAAATTACTTAAGAAGATCCCAGATCTGTTTTTGTGGAGCAGATAAGAAAAGGTGAATTTGGAGTTGAGAGGTAATGAATTGATAACATCTATGCCTCAGTTTTCTAAAGTCAAATATAGAAACTATATAGTAAATGTAAATTTATTGAATTTAGGGAGATAGAGGTAGGTGTTTTATTCCTACCTCTATTCAGAAGGATTTTCAAATATCTGTTCAGTAGAATTTAAAGGATTATATGTTATATTTGAAAAGGAAAGACAACTACATTAAATATTAGCACTCTCAATCTTTGAGTTTTAGTTCTTCTGGGTATAACATTAAATTGTGCCAAATAAAGTATGAACATGAGCCAGAAGTGTGGCTCAGTGATAGATCTCTTGTGTAGCAAGTACAAGGCTCTGAGTTCAAACCCCACTACTACCAAAAATAATTTTTCATTCCCTACTGAATGTCAGTATGAGTGGTATAATGTCAGCATTATAAATTCAATTATAAATTCATGACAAGTATAACCTCCATGAAGGTATACTGGAATTGGAACTAATATTGAGGATAACTGACTTTGATTATGCATAGAGAAACAAAACAAGAAGATAAATAGATATAGATGTGAATCTTCTCTTACATAAGAATTCTGAGTGCTGGCTTTAGTAGCACATACACTAAAATTAGGACAATACAGAGAAGACTAATTAGCTTGGTCACTGTGAAAGGATAACATGCAGATTCCTGAAAGGTTCCATATTTTTGTGAAGTAAAGTCAAGTTCAGGAGGACAAAGGTCATATATTTTCTCTTATAGGTGAATGCTAGACTTAAAAAATAAACATATACATAAACATAAACAGGATTGTATGTATATGTCTGTGCAACGTGATTGCAGCATATGCATGTTCACCTTACTATGATGAAGACCTTTTAAACAGTAACTATACACTTTATCAAAACTGGATGTTAGGAAGATGAAACAGGTCATGTCCAAAATGTAGGTACTACTAGGAAAGAGTGGGCAAATAAAGATTTAAAGGAAGGTGAATCTGGTCAAAATACCTTATTTGTGAGGATAGAACAATGAAGCTTTTTTTTTTTGTCAGTCGTGGTTCTTGAACTCTGGGTCTGGGCACTGTCCCTGAGTTCTTCAGCTCAGTGCTAGCTAGGATTACAGGTGTGAGCCACTGGCACCTGGCCAATGAAGCTTTTTGAGACTGGTTCAGGAAGGAAAGGGAGAAGAGAAAGAGTGACAGAAGGGGTGAGTCTGAACAAGGTACATCATATTCATATATAGACTAGTCAAAATGAAACCTTTTTTTTTTGGGGGGGGGGTCCGGTCATGGGGCCTGAACTCTGGGCCTGGGCACTGTCCCTCAGCTCTTCAGCTCAAGGCTAGCACTCTACCACTTGAGCCACAGCACCACTTCTGGCTTTTTTTTCTGCTTATGTGGTGCTGAGGAATCGAACCCAGGGCCTTAAGCATGCAAGGCAAGCGCTCTACACTGAGCCACCTTCCCAGCCCCATGAAACCTTCGTGTATAAACTAATTGATGCCAAAGAGAAGAAAAAGAAGCCAGGGCCAGGCACTGGTGGCTCATGCCTGTAATCCTAACTACTCAGGAGGCTGAGTTCTGAGGATCATGGTTCAACGCCAGCCTGGGCAGGAAAGTCCATGAGACTCTTACTCTCCAGTTAACCACCAGAAAACCAGAACTGGTACTGTGGCTCAAATGGTAGAGTGCTCACCTTGAGCTGAAGAGCTCAAGGACAGTGCCCAGGCCTAGAGTTCAAGCCCCATGATCAACCTCCCCCCCCAAAAAAAGAAGCCAGATGCTGTTGGTTTATGTCTGTAATCCTAGCTACTTAGGAAGCTGAGATCTGAGGATTATGGTTCCAAGGCAGCCTGAGCAGGAAAGTCTGTGAGACTCTTACAGATTTTTATTAACCACCAAAAAGCCAGAAGTGGAGGAATGGCTAAATAGTAGAGCGCTTACCTTAAGCAAAAAAGCTCAGAGACAGTGACTAGGCCCTGAATTCAAGCCCCAGAACTGGTACAAATTTTTTTAAAAAAGCAAGAAAAAATCTGTGGTGAAGAGGTTAACTCTGTGGTGAACAAATTTAACTCTGATGCTGGTGGATCTTTCAGGGACAATGTTTCAAGTCACTGTTCTGCAGTCCTCTAGGATGTTATGAGTAGCACCATTATTTTGGGGGTCACTGTGGAGTTCAATGGGAAGGGGAAAGCGGAAAAGTTGGCGATTTGTTCACAGTATTAAAGTTTAGCCAGAATGTCACATGTCCCTTCTGCTTTTACCCCAGTCATAATTTTGCTTTGTGTCATTTTCACTTTTGCTTTTCTTTTTAGGTGAGGCTATTTGGAAAAGTAAACAGCAGGAAATTTCTGGAGAGGTTCCATTTCACTGTGAGACATTTGATCTACCCACAGAAAATTCCTTATGTTCTATTTTAGAACTGCGGCAAGAGAATGACCAGCGAGAGCAATGTCAGGAAAACCCACGAAACCCTTTAAGCCATGTCAAAGTATTGATTAAGGACAAGGCTTATGACTGTCAAAACATGGGAAAAATAATTCACAAAACTACCAAGTTTATTCCCCTAATTAAAGGACTCCATCACTGTGGCACATCTGGAACAAGATTGAAGCATGTTTTAAACTTATATAGTCAGAGTAGAATCACTCCAGAAAAGAACCCTGACAAAATTTTTGGAAGTTCACATAGCTCTTACTCAACTAAGAATGACCAGGCTAACATGGGAGCGACTTCCTATGAATATAATCAATGTGAAAGTTACCTCAGCCAAAAACAAGCTTTCAAACTCCATCAAGAAATATATCCTGGGGTGAAGCTTCATGTATATAATGAATATGTAAAGATCTTCCCTCAGAAGCTGATTGAGCATCAGGACATTCATGCTGTAGAAAAATCCTATGAGGGCAACCAAGATGAGAAAGTATTCACTCCAAAACCCCACACTGACATACACCAGGGTGTTTCTAGAGGAAAGAAACCCCATCTATGTACTCAGTGTGGGAAGTCTTTTACCCTCAAGTCAAACCTCACTACACATCAGAAAATCCACACTGGGCACAAACCCTTTAAATGCAATGAATGTGGAAAAGCCTTTTTGCAGAAATCTGATCTCTTTAGACATCTGAAAATACATACAGGAGAAAAACCTTATGAGTGCAGTGAATGTGGAAAAGCCTTTTTCCAGAAATCAGATCTCTTTAGACATCTGAGAATTCACACAGGAGAAAAACCTTTTGAATGCAACGAATGTGGAAGAGGCTTCTCGCAGAATTCCGACCTCAGTGTCCATCTCAGGACCCATACTGGGGAGAAGCACTATGAATGCAGAGAGTGCGGCAAAGCTTTCACAAGAAAATCAACCCTTAAGATGCACCAGAGAATTCACACTGGAGAGAAGCCTTATGTGTGCATGGAATGTGGCCAGGCCTTCATCCAGAAATCACATTTCAACATGCACTGGAGGATTCACACTGGAGAGAAGCCTTATGAGTGCAGCGACTGTGGGAAGTCCTTTACTAAGAAGTCCCAGCTCCATGTGCATCGAAGAGTCCACACAGGAGAGAAGCCCTATGTTTGTACTGAATGTGGAAAGGTCTTTACTCATAGGACAAATCTCACCACACATCAGAAAACTCACACTGGAGAGAAACCTTATATATGTGCCGAATGTGGGAAGGCCTTTTCAGATCATTCTAATCTCATCAAACACCAGAAGACTCATAGTAGAGAGAAACCCTATGAATGTAATGGCTGTGGAAAAGCATTTGTATGGAAGTCACGTCTTAAAATCCATCAGAAATCTCATATGGGAGAGAGACACTATACATGCAAGGAGTGTGGGAAAGCCTTTATCCAGAAATCAACACTAAATGTGCATCAGAGAATCCATACAGGAGAGAAGCCCTACATTTGTCCTGAGTGTGGGAAGGGCTTCATACAAAAATCCCATTTCATTGTACACCATAGAATTCACACTGGAGAGAAGCCTTATGAGTGCAGTGATTGTGGGAAATGCTTCACTAAGAAGTCACAGCTTCGGGTGCATCAGAAAATCCACACAGGTGAGAAACCCTATGTATGTGCTGAGTGTGGAAAGGCCTTCACTGATCGGTCCAATCTCATAGCACATCAGAAAATTCATACCAGGGAGAAACCCTATAAGTGTAGTGACTGTGGGAAATCTTTCACCTGGAAGTCACGCCTCAGCGTACATCAAAGATCGCATACTGGAGAGAGGCATTATGGGTGCAGCAAGTGTGGGAAAGTCTTTATGCAGAAAGCAACACTAAGTATGCACCAGCTAATTCATACAGGGAAGAAGCCCTACTCTTGTACTGAGTGTCAGAAGGCCTTCACTGACAGATCAAACCTCATTAAACACCAGAAAACCCACAGTGGAGAAAAACTGTAAAGCCATTGAATGAGAGAGCCTTTGACTAGAAATCACAATGTGCCTAGCCTACATTGGCTCAGCCTAGCAGCAACATTTCATGCTTCAGTCATAGTACAGAGTAAGCAGAGGTGGTGACTTGAGTGAACAGAGGCATCGGTGCCAAAAATGTCCTTTTATTGACTGAAAATACAAATTCTATAGAAATCACAATGTGCCTGCATCAGTTTGGCTTAGTGGGGAAGAACATTTCATGCTGCAATCATGGTACAGGGGAAGTAGAGGTGGTGACTTCAGTGAACAGAGGCAAATGGTGTTAAAACATCCTTCCGTTGACTAGAAATACAAGTTCCAGCTTTGTTCCAGTTGACACAGTTATTTGCATAGGGAGCTTTTTTATGTATTTTATTATGTCGGTCATGGGGCTTGAACTCTTGGTCTGGGCGCTGTCCCTCAGCCTTCTGCTCAAGGCTAGTGCTCTACCACTTGAGCCACAGAGCCACTTCCGGTTTTCTAGTGGTTTATTGGAGATAAGAGTCTCATGGACATTCCTGCTTAGGCTGGCTTTGAACCAGGATCCTCAGATCTCAGCCTCCTGAGTAGCTAGGATTACAGGCATGAGCCAATGGCACTGGGGCTGCTGCTGCTGCTTCTTT